CTTCCACTACCCCCAACACTCAAAATTCAATGAATCGCACCTACCAACAATGTCAAATCTTTAGCCGTGACTCGTGATGCCCTAGTACCCCATTGAGACCCTCATGAAACAGTGGTCACGTGATGGATAGATGTGTCCACCAGGTTGCTTGGCACACATCGGAAATGGAGCCGGCGAGAAATAGACGAATAGTCTCTAAATGTAAGCGAAGTATCCCAATTAGCTTTCGAGCTGTTTTTGGTTTCCTTAGTTTTAAACTGAACAAAGACGAAAACTACTGCAACTACAGAAACTGAAATAGTTGGGTCGCCTATGGTCACCACCCAGTGTGCATTACTGAATAGGCGCATAGATAGAAAGAAAAGAATGAAATGCGCACGCTTTTTACGCGGCGCGCGGTCTTACTGAAATGCGGATTACCTGTGGTATTACGTCACGATCCCGTGCCTCGCGGGATACAAACTATTATCATATGACCAGTGCTCTAGTTTGTATCCCGCGAGGCACGCGATCGTCACGTAATATACCACAGGTAACCCACAGTGCGCACCGATTCGATAACATAAAAAGCGTGCACATTTCATGCATTCTTTTCTTTCTTTCAAGCAATAGTTGGGTAGCCTATGATAGGCGCAGCCCTCCCGACTTTGACTTCATCGAAAGAAAAGAACGAACATGCATGCTTTACACAGTGATACTGTTATCCAATTCTACCAAATACAGGGTGAGTGCAACATTCCCTTGAAATAATTATAGTTATATGTCATTAATAGACAGCAATGGTAATGCTTTTCATTTCAATATCACTTCTCTGATTTTCGTACGCCCAAATTAAATTTCGACTGCGATCAACCTTAATCTTTCTCACACTCATTCAGATCTCGTTATCCATTATTCTAACTGTAAAGCATATTGCTTGAGTATATCATTGCTACAAAACAATAACTTCGGTATTTGTTTGAAGTTTAAAAATAAAACGAGAAGTTCCAGATTGAGTTCTCTTTGATAGTTGTAGAAGAAATGTCGCCTTAT